CTATTTTTTGATCATCATTTAACTCAAAATCAATTTATAGTCTCGGAACCCACTTTTAATAGCAAAGCTCCCATATGGTTCTGTCAGTAATAGCCAGTTCTAACTTTAGATGCTAGCAAATGACGAAGTTATTAATATTATTAGTTTTGACTGAAGATAGAAAAATAATGAGAAGTTCATGTCTATATAGCAGCTGAGAATTACTTGCTATTAATCTGGTAATAGAATTCATATTAAAACAGTTTTTGATATATTTGAACCACTGAGATATTTGAAGTAGTATACATCAATTATTATATACTTTAGTATCAGCATACATAAAGAAAGCTAATTTATTAGCAGAAATAAACTTTTTACAGTATATTAAACCTTTAGGGTGAAGTGTAGGGATAATCTTCCTGTAGGATGATTGGTTAAATTTAGTAAGTAAAAGTGTAAATTCTTCATTAACAGTATCATCATGATATAAGTAAAACTTAAAATTAAAATCCAGGTGACTAAGAACTGTTAGCAGTATCACAATCCAATCTTTGAAGGGTATTTAATCATTATGTCGCCAGTTTTAAAAAGGTAAAGTTGGAAGCCATTTAAGGATTTGTAATTAAAACAGTCTAATATCTGTAATGCTATCAATTAGATCTTTATCATTGGAAATATTATTAAGAACAGTCATTTTGTCTTAGAGTTAGAAGTCATACAAATGAGAAATATTATATAAAAGAGATAAGTAAAATGTAAAGATTGATGTATTTTTGAAGAGAATCAACTTTGATTTGAGGAGACATCTAAACATACCTATTAGTTGATCACAAAACTTTTATCCTAAAAATATGAGCTGTGTTTATATAGTAATCTTGGAAGAATAACAATGTTGTAAATATAAATCATCTGTTTATTTATATAGTAATCTTGGAAGAATAATAATGTTGTAAATATAAATTATCTGTTTGTTAGTAAGGCTTTTGAGCATTATAGTTTTGTATGTTATATAGATTTCTTTATAGACTTATTGTTATATAAATTGTTTATTATATAATATAGAAATTCAAATTCCTAAGTATCTAATTGAGGAGTGATATTTGACTGGTATAAGATTAATCAGTGTAGAAGGGAGTTGGAAATGAACAGTATTCTGATTTTTGAATGGAAAAAAAAATATAGATTTAGTCCAATTAACCTGAATCGAATTTAAGATATAAAAACTATCTGTAATATCCATTAAATTATTAAGCAATACTTTAGAATTGCTAAACTAAAGGGTGTCATCTATATAGGCAAGAGCAGGTACATGTACTTTGTGATGATGTTAAGGTGATAAGATCACATGCAAAAAAGGAGAATCTACGTGAAGATGATATCCTAAGTCAGTATTTTGTAAGTAGTATAGAAGGAGATCAAAATAAATATACCATAAAATAAATAAAATGATTTCTCCTTGATTGATATCAGAAAGAACAGGAAATGTTGGTATAATGGCATATGCTGTTAAAACTTGATTAAAATGAAAAGCAAGAGCAATGAGATTAATTCAATGAAATTTTCAGGTAATCAGAATCTTAGTAAAGTAAACCAAGATTGATTCTGTTATAGGTCTTGAACATGTCCTAAAATAGGATCTATAGATATTTTGATGAAATTGAGCATCTTTTTTATGTTGTCTAAAATATGTATTGGGTCTTTTATAGATTTATGTAGAAGATCAGTAAAATTGTATTCTTTAAGGGCTTGATGTTAAGACAACGTTAATAATAATCAATTATTAATTAATTTCACAAACGCTTTTCTTAAACATTTCAATAAAGTGATAGGACATGTATTATTAAAATCATATGGAAGCTTTGCAATAGAAAGAAAGAAAACTCTAAAAAAATTTTTTTTTGAGTTAATGTTAAATCTGGACTTATTTTACAAAAAAAATCATAATTAGCTTAGAAAGTAAAAATTTAATTTTTTTAGAGTTTCCTCCCTTTCTATTGCAAAGCTCCCATATTTCTATGGCTTAGGTTTTGTGATTGGATAAATAAAGGTGACACTTTATGTATCTAAAAGAATAGCAATAATTATACATCCGCAGATAAAGGTCTAAAATAATTTTTTAGTTTGAGATCCTAAATTTTTAAGCATTTCATTTAATATCTAGAAGGGTTTTAAGGCTTTGTTATTATGAAGCTCATTTATCATATTATACCATTCTTCTTCTGTAGGTAGGATCATTAAATTGTTGTATATAGAAGGATCAATATGAGCTATAGGCTAATACCATTGATGTTAATCATCTGAAATTAGTTGAAGTGATGCGTAATACTAGTGACTTGCTGAAAAATGCCAATTAGTTTCTTTAATTACATCTAACAGATTAGTTAAAAAACCTTTATTTTTATTAGAGCCATCCCAATTAATAAGCGAGTTAATCATATTCCTTTGGTTATTCTTATAATTATAATAATGTCTCTTCAAGGTCAATTTGATTAAAGAGACTTTGAATTCATGCTCAATTAATTTGGCTTTTATAATATAGGCTTGATATAATTGGTTGATGAGTTCTTTATTGATTAGAACATGTGTTAGAGAATCCATATTTTCTATAAAAGTAATCTGAAATTCAGTAGAAATAGGTAGGATTATAAAGTAGTAACTATACATGAAGTTGAAATGAAAACCCAAAAGTCGAAATAAAAAGTCAAAATGGTCGAAATTACATCATATCACATGATTATTTATATATAAAAAAACAAAAAAAAAACAAAAGATATACGATCTCAGTCAATATCGCACCGATTCGTATGAAACAACTACCATTCGATTCCTTGCGACTAGTCGAATCCAATGAAATAACATTCATTGAATTTGGATTATCCTATCTCGAGAGATTTGCGATCATGTTTCGAAATCAGAACTCCTTTATTTAAAGTAGAATTTATTGATTTATAATTTCAGCCAATAATACAATTGCGAGTATCTCGTGATTAGATGATCCGAAGTCAATGAATGTTTGCTCATTAGATCTGCTTAGTTTCAAGGAATTGAATGGTTTTTTTTCTTTTTTTTTTAACGATGCAATACTGCTATAAGTTTATTAAAGCTTTTTATAGTATACTAAATAAAATATTACAAAGT